TCCTGAGCCGCTGTGCTTCCGCCACAACATCATGCGGAAGTCCCGCCATGCGTGCTACCCGCACCCCAAAACTAGACGGTGTTACACCCGGTGTAGGCTTGTAGGTAAACACCAGTTTGGGCTCCCCATCTCCTCCGTCTTCATCTTGCTCCTCAGAAAACCCCATATAATAGCACGATACTTGTTTTCCCTCGGAGGTATTATGAAGGTACGGCTCACACAGATGTGAGTAATGCGTCACAAACAGCATCGTCGTGCCTCGTTGCAAAAGATATTCAAGCGTTGCCGCAGCAACGGCAATACCGTCAAAGCTGCTTGTACCCCTCCCAAGTTCATCCAACAATACAAGTGAGGAGGATACACGTGGCGAGCGCAGAATTCGGCTTGTCTCTTGCATCTCCTTCAAAAACGTAGAGGTTCCCTCCAGTAGAGAGTCACTTGCCCCCATACGACAATATACGGCTGTGAACAATGGCAACTGCGCCGCAGTCGCAGGAACGTAGCAACCCAGCTGGGCCATGATAACGAATGCGCCAACCATGCGCATAAGTGCAGACTTTCCACCCATATTGGGTCCTGTTAGGATCCATGCCCCACCTTTTGCCAGGCAAAAATCGCAGCTCACGTAGCCTCCCCGTAAAATGTTGTCCAGCACTGGATGCCGACCGCCCACAATCTTCAGACACGTTGCACCATCTGAGAGCTCCGGTGCAACGTAGCCACGGAAAGAAGATGTCACAGTAAGGCACCGAATCGCATCCAGCACGGCCACAGCATCGATGACAGCCTGAAAGGCATTCATGGCTAAGGAAGAGTTAGACAACTCATCCTGCTTTTGTTGCCATGCATCTTTTGCCGCAATAATAAGACGCTCTCGGGCAGAACAAAGTAAAACATTACGATCAACAATGTTTGGTGTGTGAAATCGAACATGACTTTTTGTCCGTGTCAACACTAACCAGTCTTTTGGTACACGATTACACTTTGCTTGTGGCACGTCCACAATAAATGGCGTCCCAGCGATGGTGCGATACTCCAAATCAGGCATATGCAGTGTCTGGCGAATGTACTCCAGCTCCTCATCAAGGGCATGTAATGCCTCATCACGAGCCGTTAGGTGGGTCTGTATGGCAGAAGGAACAGAAACACCATGCGATGTAAAGTACTCTAATGGGGATGTCGCGTGTGATTCCATTTCACATTTGCACAACTGAATAAAATTGGCCGTTTCCGCGGAAGTGACCCTCTGCAGAGTCTCAAGAATTAAATTATCTATGCGCCCGTCATTGCGGGATAATACGGCATGAGCCAAAGTGTGGACTGTTTCCAGAGCACGCAGAAGTTGAATGTACTCTCCAACTGAGCAGCGTTGCGCCCGCATCTTTCCCAGTGTTGCTTCAATATCGCCAAACCGGGCACACTCCCGAAGCAAATGCGTCACGGTGTTATCATCCTCTCCATGCAACAAGAAAGAAACGGCTTTTCGGCGTGCTGTGATTGTGTTCATTTCACAAGGCGGTTCCGACAGCCACAGACGAAGGCGTCGTACACCAGGCGTAGTGAGACTGTGGTCAAGCAGCGCCATCAAAGAGCCTTTGGCCCCGATGCTGCTGTGAAAAATATCCAGCGCGCTCAATGTGCTACCCGGCAACTCCATTTTTCCCGTCACACTGTCGATGGCAGCATTCCGTGGCAACGTCTGACCAGCCTCCAAGC